CCGGCTGCCCGCAGGTCGGAGCCCTGCCTGGAGCCCGGCCCCCGGCCGGCCCCGCGAGCTTTCGCTTTCAGTCCAGGCCTCCCCCCCAGCGGCTTCGCATCTTAGGTTTGGTTTCGGTTTTTGTTCTTGCCGGGCCCGGGCGCCGCCCCCGCCGCCGGCCTTTCCCGCCCGGGCTGGCTTTGAACCGCGGTCTCAGATCTCGGCCTCCTGAGTAGCGCGAGGGCCGGCGCCCGGCTGCAGCTCGGTTCAGAAGCCCCTTCCTGGGAAGCGCCTCCCTGGCCGCCCTCCTCCGAGTTCCCGCCACCTCGTCCCCAGTTGTCTCTGCTTTCTCTTTAAATAGTCTGTGCACGCCTGTAATCCTGCTCTGGAGGCTGAGAGCTGAGGATCGCGGTTCAAAGCCAGCCCGGGCCGGAAAGGCCGTGGGACTCTTCTCCAATAAACCACCAGGAAACCGGAAGTGGCGCTGTGGCTGGAGCGCCCGCCTGGAGCAGGGACAGCGCCCAGGCCCAGCGTTCAGCCTGGCCGCCAACAACGAGAATCCGCTTCATACATCTTCTTCTTCGTTTTTCTTGGTCACTAAGTTGTTCTTTTGCCAGAAGCGATATATTTTTACAAGTTTGTAAACATTCTCAGTGCCAGGGCAGCCGGTTTGATCGTGCCAAAACTATTACAGAGCCTTTCTTAGGGCTCAGTGTTCAGACTTCTATTTTTCTGTGTGTGTGTCATGGAAAGGAAAAATTTGAAGTAAATATTGGTAGAGAAGGTAACAGCGCTTTGCTTTCTGCATTGCCCTTTAAAAAGAAAGAAGTTTATTTTTTTTGGTTAGTCATGGGGCTTGAACTCAGGGCCTGGGCACTATTCCTGAGCTTTTGTGCTAGTGCTTGAGCTACAGCTCCACTTCTGGCTTTGTGGTGTTTAATTGGAGGTAAGAGTCTCACAGCTTTCCTTCCAGGCTGGCTTTACACTGTGATCCTCAGTCTCAGCCTCTGAGCAGCGAGGATCCCAGGCCCGCGTCATGGTGCCCAGTCGGCGGGTGTTCATGTTCACTTCACTTTCTGGCACCTGGCATTTAACCAGATGGAGCCACAACTCCAGCGTGGAATTTTTACTATTTTTTGCATGTCACCCCCAAAGCAGAAATGAAAGTTCATCTTTCTTTGCAGTTCTCAGAAGAGTAAAAGATGGCGGAATTTCCCGATGACCAGGATACTCGTCTTTGTAACAACTGGTAAGAACTGAAACCTAATGTTAAATGAGGATAAACTAACCTCTGTAACAAATTGTGTTATTTTTGGTAGGTCAAAATTGCAACTGTATACTGTATTGTACAAGTCAGTAGAGCTAGAGCTGCTTAACAATTTTGAAAAATTGCCTGTTTTAGTCATTTGCTAGGGCAGCTGGCTTGGGTGGAGTGAGCAGCGGTGGCGGGGCTGGGAGGCGGGGCTCTGCTTCCTGCATTTAATGACTGACTCAGTTGCATGGACTGTTCTGGAGCCTCATTTTCTTTTCTTGGCTTGCTTGGGATTGAACCCAGGGCTTTGGCATGCTAGGCAGGCACTGTATCACTCTATATTCCTAGGCCCTAGACTCTTTATTTACTTTCCTGAGAGATTCCATCTTGAAAATAACCAGCCAAGAAAAGGCCTGGCTCAAATGGTAGAGCACCAGCTGTGAGCAAGCAAGCCAAGTTATGGCAGAGCCCTGGGTTTAAGCATTGATACCAGCAGAAACCAACAAACAACACCCAACAACAGTAATCAAACGAATTTCCATGTGATAGCACTGTTCAAGGTAAGGCACAGATCAATTAGTAATGCCTGTCTTGTCTTGGTCTGTTTCTGTAGCTCAAAAGAAATACCCGTGTTTAACTTTACCATCCATGAAATCCACTGTCAAAGGAACATTGGTGTGTGTCCCATTTGCAAGGAACCATTTCCCAAATCCGAAATGGAGATTCACATGGCTACAGAACACAGTCAGGTGAGAGACACCAGTTCCCCCAGTGTTGATGTGCTTTACTTGCAGTTGTTCATAAATATGTTATACTTGTGATTTTGCAATAAGAGAAGAGCGTACTGTCTTTTTTTTTGTATTGCTTTGTTCTTTTTTTTTTTTTGCTGGGTCCTGAGGCTTGAACTCAGCCTGGGCACTGCCCCTGAGCTGCTTTGTGCTCGAGGCTAGTGCTTTACCACTTGAGCCATAGCACTACTTCTGGCTTTTCTGAATAGTTTGTTGGTGGTAAGAGTCACATGGACTTTCTTGCCTGGCCTGGAACCATGATCCTCAGATCACAACCTCCTGAGTAGCTAGTGCTGGCCACATTGTCTTTTTTTTGTCGGTTGTAGGGCTTGAACTCTGGGCCTGGGCGCTGTTCCTCAGCTCTTCAGCTCAAGGCGAGTGTTCTACCACTTGAACTATAGCACCACTTCTGGTTTTCTGGTGGTTTATTGGAGATTAGAGTTTCATGGACTTTCCTGCCCAGGCTGGCTTTGACCTGGGATCCTCAGATCTCAGCCTCCTGAGTAGCTAGGATGACAGGCGTGAGCCACCGGTACCTGCCCACACTGTCATTTTAAAGCTAGTTTACGGGCTGGGAAGGTGGCTCAGTGGTAGAGCACTTGCCTTGCATGCCTGAGGCCCTGGGTTCGATTCCTCAGCACCACATAAGCAAAAAGAAAAAAGCTGGAAGTGGAGCTGTGGCTCAAGTGGCAGAGCACTAGCCTTGAGCTGAAAAGCTGAGTGACAGCGCCCAGGCCCAGAGTTCAGGCCCACGGCTGGACCCAAAATAAATAAATAAATAAAGCTAGCTTATTCTCACTTTTTACCCTAGGTGGTCTGCAAATGTAACAAGAAGCTGGAGAAGAGGCAGTTGAAGAAGCATGAGGTTCGTAGTCATGTACTATGAAGGGAGGAACTTACATGGGTTGTTCTTACTAAGATTTCAGAGCACATGGAAAACAGTTTGATAGACTTATAATTTTTTTTCTTTTCTTTTCCCTCCCTCCTTCCCTTCCTCCCTCCCTCCCTCCCTTCATGTCAGCTGTGGGGATTAAACTCAGGGCCTGGGCACTGTCCTTGAGTTTTTTTTATTTGTTGTTTTTTTTTTTTGGGGGGGGGTCCAGTCGTAGGGCCTGAACTCTGGGCCTGGGCACTGTCCCTCAGCTCTTCAGCTCAAGGCTAGCGCTCTACCACTTGAGCCACAGTGCCACTTCCGGCTTTTTTCTTTTTGCTTAAGTGGTGCTAAGGAATCGAACCCATGTCCTCATGTATGTGAGGCAAGCACTCTGTCACTGAGCCACCTTCCCAACTCCCCTGCAAAGATATTTTAAATCATAAAGAAGGAGGGTACAGTTGGAAGCTAGTTGTGGAGGGTTTTCTTGTAGGGGAAGGCTGGGTGGGAGGAGGCCATTCCTGAACTTTAGCATGGCTTTGTCAACTGGGCAGTACATAACCTGAATGGTTGCAACAGAGTCCAAGTGGAGTTTGTACTAGTGTGTGGCACCAGGAACTCTACACCATGTCCTTTCTTTTTTGTTTTTTTTGGGTCCAGTTGTGGGGCCTGAACTCTGGGCCTGGGCACTGTCCCTCAGCTCTTCAGCTCAAGGCTAAGGCTCTACCACTTGAGCTACAGCGCCACTTCCGGCTTTTTTTCTTTTTGCTTATGTAGTGCTGAGGAATCAAACCCAGGGCCTCATGCATGCAAGGCAAGCGCTCTACCACTGAGCCACCTTCCCAGCTCTACACCATGTCCTTTGGATAGATCAAACACTTATGTGGAGTTCAGACTCAATGTCAAGTTCATTTTATGTACTGTTCTCATATCTTTTAGAGAAGCCTTACCTGGGGCCCATTCACATTTTTCAGGAAAATACTTTGGGAAAGCTAACAGTCTTTTTTTTTTTTTTTGCTGGTCATGGAGCCTGAACTCTGGGCCTGGGCGCTGACCCTCAGCTCTTCAGCTCAAGGCTAGCGCTCTACCACTGGAACCACAGCAGCCCTTCCGGCTTTTTCTGCTTATGTGGTGCTGAGGAATCGAACCCAGGGCCTCATGCATGCAAGGCAAGCACTCTACCACTGAGCCACCTTCCCATCCGGCTTTTTCTGCTTATGTGGTGCTGAGGAATCGAACCCAGGGCCTCAGCATGCAAGGCAAGCACTCTACCACTGAGCCACCTTCCCAGCCCCTGTTCTTGAGTTTTTTTGCTTAACACCATCACTTTGAGCCACAGCACTTCCCCTTTTCTGGTAGTTCATTGAAGATCAGAGTCTCACAGACTGCTGACCTTGCTGGCTTTGAACTGTGATCCTCAGATCTCAGCCTCCTGAGTAGCTAGGATTGATTACAGGCGTGAGCACCAGCACCTTGCCTTGGCTGATTTTTAGTTATCGGTGAACAAAACTACATGATGGCAGAGCAGCTTTGAAGATTCCTTCTAAGTGTTTCTTGAAGAACTCTGGAGACACACAGGAAACTGTAGTTTTCAAACCCTTAGAAAACGAGCTGACCAAGAAAGCTAAGGGTGAAAGAGAAGATTGGAGTTTTCTTTTCTGGTCCTAAAGGCACAGCCTCTTAAGAGTGTGTGTTAACTGCTCATTGCCGTGTGTTGCAGGAGACCGACTGCCCTCTGCGGCTTGCGCTCTGCCAGCACTGTGATTTGGAACTTGCTGTTCTCAAACTGAAGGAGCATGAAGAGTACTGTGGGGCCCGGACGGAGCCGTGCGGCAGCTGTGGACGCAATGTCCTCGTGAAAGACCTGAAGACTCACCCTGCCGTTTGTGGCAGAGAGGAAGTGGAAAAGAGGAACACCACAGCTATGTCTCCTAATGCGTATGATGAGGCGTGGGGTCAAGACAGAATCTGGATTGCTTCCCAGCTCCTCAGACAGATCGAGTCTCTGGACCCACCTGTGCGGCTGTCCTCGAGGCCCCTGAGAAGCCTTGAGTCAGACTCTGTGCACAGCAGGACTTCAAGCCAAAGGAACGTGCCAGCCCATTTTCCAATTCAGAATAATCTGTGTGAGTTACATTTGGGGTTAGGGTACCCCGGGAATGGCAGCAGCATCCCTGGGGCAAATGAGGCCATGCAGATTATGATAGCAGAAGTCGGCCAGGCTGAGGAGAGTAGAGTTCCTCCTTTTCCTGTGCAATAGCAATGTCAGAACCTTGGTAGATTTCTGTAGGGTTGATGCTGCTGTTGCTGCAAGTAGCTGATACGCCTTATATTTGTTTCTGCAGAGTGCTTTCCATGTATGAGCTCAGTTCTCAACAGGAAGTACATGCAAAATGTTTAGGCCAGTGCCTGGCCAATAGTGGTGCTTAGTAACTGAGTGACTTTTCTTGTGCTGGGGAGGGAACCCACGTCCTTGGAGTTAGGCAAGCATGCCACCCGCGTTCCACCCCTCGCAACTCAGGTCTCATGCTTGTCCACCCCCCAGCCATGCCCCCATTCCAGCGTTGCAGATCAGTAAGATACTGTAATATAATAGCGCATCTTAATCTGATGGCACACTTAAGGTTCAGAGGGTGCCGATGGACTCGTGTAGATTTGGAAGCTTGAGGTCTGGCTATATCTCCAACGTATCTTGAGTGCTGATTGTTTTTGTTCAGTTGAAGAACAAGAAAGGCAGGAAAGGAACAGAAGCCAGCAGCCCCCCACAAAGAGTGGTGAAGATAGCGCAAATCTGGACTTCATGCTGGCCCTCAGTTTGCAGAGTGAAGGCCAGGCCTCCAGCTTGGCAGAGCAGGACTTCTGGCAGGCTGTGTGCGAGGCGGAGCAGCTGCACAGTGGTCCCGGTTCTTTGATTGATAGGAAAGGTAGGTGTGAATATTCTGCCTTAGACTAATTTTTGTTACATTATACAACGTGTAACATTGTCACACATTTTTGTAGGTACTGGGATTTAACTCAAGGCTTCCTGGCTAGGGGGGCACTCTCCCTCTTGGGCCTTGTGTTTAGCCCTTTTTGTTTTTTGCTTGGGTTTTGCTGTTTTGCGTAGGCTAGCCTGGACTGCAATCTTGTGGATCTCGGCCAGGATTAGGCGTTAGCTACTGTACCAACCTGGAATATGTATATGTGTGCGTATATGCGTGTGTCACGGGGGATGGCAGGCATGCACCACTGGGCCTGTGCCACCGCACTCGGCCATTGGTTGAGATTGAGTCTCGAATTTTCATCCCCCAATCTCTGACTACCAAGTAGCTAGGATTAGGAGACACTTTGCCTGGCTAGGTTCTCACTTTTGTTGCTTTTAATCAATTCCGTTTTTGTTGTTGTGAGCTTATCTAGGTGCAGCAGATGAGACCATGCTGCCTTGTGAATTTTGTGAAGAGCTCTACCCAGAAGACCTGCTGATTGACCACCAGGTGTGTTGAGAACCGAACTGCGCAGTTGGTGAAGTCATGCGCACTCAGTGGCCAGCTGATGTGTGGCTGTGGAAGTCGGCCTTTTTTCCTCCTAGAAACACCATGTTCATTCCGGCTGTCGCCCTGTGAGATCATTTCTGGGTGATTTGGAGGTTTGCACCTCTGAACCAAGTTCCTCCATGGTAGCTTCTGAGTTTCCCTGATTCTTTCCTTTTTTCTTTTATTCTTTCCATTTTTATTTATTTTTTGTGCTAGTACTGAGGCTAGAACTCAAGGCCTGGGCACTGGGTCTTAGCTTTTTTTTTTTTGGCTCAAGTCTGGCATCCTGCCACTTGAATTACACCTCCACTTCCAACCTTTTGGTGTTTTTTGTTTTTGCTTTTGGTTGGTCGTCGTGGGGCTTGAACTCTGGGCCTGGGCGCTGTCCCTCAGCTCTTCAGTTCAAGGCAAACACTCTACCACTTGAGCTACAGCAGTGCCACTTCCAGTTTTCTGGTGGTTTATTGGAGATAGGAGTCTCACGGTCTTTCCTGACCTGGCTGGCTTTGCACCGCGATCCTCAGAATCTCAGCCTCCTGAGTAGCTAGAGTTATAGGCGTGAGCCACCAGCGCCCGGCTTTTTGGTGTTTTGTTTTTGGTGTTTTTTTTCCGGCGGTCGTGGGGCTTGAACTATGGGCTTGGGCGCTGCCTTTGTGCTCTTCAGCTCAAGGCAAGCGCTCTCCTACTTGGGCCACAGCACCACTTCTGGTTTTCTAGCAGTTTATTGGAGATAAGAGTTTCAAAACTTTCCTGCCCGGGCTGGATTTGAACCGCGATCCTCAGATCTCAGCCTCCTGAGTAGCTAGGATTACAGGTGTGAGCCACCGGCGCCCGGCTTTTGGTGATTTTTTTTTTTTAAAGATAAGAGTCTTCGTGGACTTTCTTGCTCAGGCTGGTTTTGAACTTTGATTCTCAGATGGCAGCCTTCTGAGTACCTCGGAAACAGTCTTGCTGGATGTCTGAGGCTGCTCTTAACTCTTTTCTCAGCCTCCCAAGTGGGACTGGGACTACAGACTTGCACCATCCTGCTATTTTTACAAGGGATTCCACTCAACTCTGACTGTTTGGCCTAATGCAGCATTTCCAAAATTGCTAAATACTCTGTGCTCTAGGTAATGGAGCAGACTTTCCTTCATGAATGGGATAATACACTTAATACATGTACTTACTGATTTAGAAGCAGCAAAAGAAAACTTACTAATAGGAATAATAACCAGGTTGGGTGCCAGTGGCTCACGCCTGTAATCCTAACTACTCAGGAGGTGAGATTTGAGGGCTAAGGTTTGAAACCAGTCCAAGGCCAAAAAAAAAAAAAAAAGCTTGAGACTCTTTTTGTCCAATTAAGCATAAAAACCTGGAAGTAGAGGTGTGCTCAAGTGGAAGAGTTCAAGCCTTGATCAAAGAAGCCAAGCAAGAGTGCAGGGCTGGGCTGGGAGGGTGGCTCAGTGGTAGAGCGCTTGCCTTGCATGCATGAGGCCCTGGGTTCGATTCCTCAGCACCACATAAGCAAAAAGAAAAAAGCCGGAAGTGGTGCTGTGGCTCAAGTGGTAGAGTGCTGGCCTTGAGCTGAAGAGCTGAGGGACAGCGCCCAGGCCCAGAGCTCAGGCCCACGACCGATGAAAAAAAAAAAAAAAGTAATATTTGCATCTTTCTCTTAGTTTGGTAGTATCTTGGGTCTTTGCAAATTTAGAAAGAACAATCACATGAACAAAATAGGAAAACAGTCTAGGAGATGAGGGATGTGCTTTGGGTTCTAGTCCTAGTGCCGTCCACACATACAAGCTCATCCGGCTAGGTATGGTGCTCAGGAGGTGAACGCAGGTGGATACAGAGTTCAGGGTTGGCCTGAGACAAGGCTAGAGGCATGGCTCAAGTGATAGAGTGTGGACTTACTGTGTATACAGCAATAGGTTCAATAACCAGAACCACCCAAAACCATAAAGTAAACCAATAAAGAAATGTTTAAAAGTAAAGATTCTAGTTATGTTCTCCTCATCCTTTTTTAGCCCTCCTCAATATTAAGTAGTAGTAAAATGCTTTGATTTTAACCTCTGATTTTTAAAACTCGGTGTTTGTTTTTTAATGACAGACAAGCTGTAATCCATCACGTGCCTTACCTTCACTTGGTCCTGACAGCTCTTCTTCCAGCCGGGTGGAGGATCCTGGCGATCTTTTCCAGAACATTCTGCAGCAGGCGACATATGACCAATTAGGCTTTATAACAGGCCTAAATACTCTCTCTCCTGTGGAAGGCAGCATCATCATCCCATGTGAATTTTGTGGGGTGCAGCTAGAGGAAGAGGTGCTGTTCCATCACCAGGTACAAGTTCCTGGAGTGTCTTGTCTGTCTGTTGAACCTCTGTGAGTGAATTTGAGCTTTCTGCACTTTAGCCTTTCCACCTGTTCAGAAATTCATGCCCTGTTTTGGGAGCTATCTGAGGGCCTGCCTTCTGGCCACGGACCTCAAACCAGGACTGCATTTATGTGGGCACAGAGCCTTTCAGTTTTCCTGCCTGAGCCACAGGTGCCAGCTTTACTTCACTTTTGTAAGACATCTAAGCATTGGGCTGGGAAGGTGGCTCAGTGGTAGAGTGCTTGCCTAGCATGCATGAAGCATGGAGCCTTAGGTTCTATTCCTCAGCACCACCTACACAGAAAAAGCTGGAAGTGGTGCTGTGGCTCAAGGGGTAGAGTGCTAGCCTTGAGCAAAAGAATCTCAGGGTCAGTCTCCAGGCTCTGAGTTCAAGCCCCCAGGAATGGCCAAAAAAAAAAGGAATCTAGGTATTGGATGAACCACTGGAGACCATCAAGCGAGCTGCACTAGTCAGCATGCATGGCATGCTTCTCTGGCCCCCGTGGCCAGCCCTTCCTTTGTGCCCTCAGTGCCTTTGATGCTGTGGGATGGCTGCTTGTCCCCACTGTGGGCTTCTTCCTTCCAGGACCTGCTGAGTGCCTGTCACTCTACCTGCTGTGCCCCCTTTGCTCCCAGCCCTCTCAATTCGGATGACTAGTTTTGGTTTTGCTTGTTTAGGACCAGTGTGACCAGCGCCCAGCCACGGCACACAGCCACGGGACGGAGGGCTTCCGGAGACAGGATCCTCAGCGGCAGGAGGCCTCACCAGAGCAGCTCCGGAGGCGCAGCAGGCACCAGGGTACCCGCCCGGCTGCACACAGCCGTGGCCTGGCCCGCCGCTGGCTCTGTACCCTCCGCCCCTCATCTGTTGCCTTCTGGGGGTTGTGGGGATCTTGGGTTACCTGGCACCAAGGGTCTCCTGGGAAGCTCCACTGGGGCCAGTTGAGTGCCCCTGTTCTCCTGAGCTGTCGTCCTGAGGCTGCAGTGCTGGGATAAAGGCTCTGGGTAGCCGTGAGTCCCATTAGAATTAGCTGTGCATCTCCTGTGCATGCACTGTTAGTACTGCTGTTAGTCACAAGACTCATGGCTAGAAAGGTGGACTGTTCTCAAACTTACCACTGTAGAACCAATTAGAAATGAGGCTCGCACACACACTTTGTGAACCATTAGGAGACTTACTGACCATTAGGAGACTCACTAGTGTGTGGAGTAGATCGTCCTGATTCTCTCCTGGAGTTCGGAGTTCTAGTATCCTTTAGGGGGCCCGTTGTTTCTATTCAGAATAGTTCAGTTCCTGCCCCAAATCCAGCATTAATAGCAAGAGTAGACTTTGCTCTCAGGCTGACTCTTGTCTCTTCCCAGGAGACCTGTCTTCTGGTTACGTGGAGGACACCAAGCAGGGGACTGCAAAAGGCTCCGCCTATCCTCTGCCTCCCAGCAGACCCATGAATAATATGACTGCAACCTGCAACCGACTGTTAAAATCAACGCCAGGCCCCAGGTCTGGGTACCAGCCCAGCCCTCCACGAGTGCTGAAGCTCAACAATGCAGACGGCCAGGAGCTCCGGGGGCGGAGCGGGGGAGGGCAGAATAGCTCAATGGCCACGGACCACCCCTCAGTGATTCACTCCATCCGAAATCTCTACCCCGAAAACCTGGTGCCCTCCCTCCCCCGTGGGCCTGCGGGGGGCTATGGAGCCAGGTAAGCATGGGTAGCTAGGGTGGTACTTGGCGCTGGCACTTGAGCACAGCGCAGGGGCGCGTGGTCGGGTCTGGTTACTGGCCTTGGCGTGCTGAGCACGCGCTGCCTCCGCGGCCCGCCCGCCTGCCGGCCCGCCCTCGCTGGAGGCAGCTCTGCCCCGAGTTGCCTGATTCCCAGAGTTCCTCAGCTGTCCACCAGCTTTCTTGTTGATTTGCTGCGAAGGGCCGCTCTGGGCACCGCTGGGTTCTCGGTGTCCCTTCACCATTGGACTCTGCTCAGGGGCATCTCGGGAGCTGGTGTTTCTCCCTTTTCTTCCAGCAGCAGGAGTGAAGGCAGCAGGAGCTCCCGGGCCGCCCCCGCCGCTGCCAACTACCGCAGCCGAGGCGCAAAGGTAGCGGGGTGGCAGGCGAGGTGGGGCTGGTTGTGGGAAGGACTTCCTTTGGCCTTTGGAGAGGGGGCTTCAGCCCATTCCCTCCGCCGCTCAGCCTGCCTTTGTGTTGCTCTGGTGCAGGCGAAGCCAAAGCCACAGGGGGCTGGCGATGCTGAGGAAGAGGAGGAGTGATGACATCCAGAGGCTTGAGCCCTGCGCCCCGCGCCCTGCACCCACCTTCTATGCACACAGCACTTGCCACCGCTGGCCTTTCTCTCAGGCTTTTCAGGCAGGAGAGGCTTTGTGGATTTTTTACTTTTTCTAGGTTCTGGCCATTTTGTGTCTTTGGGCTTGTGCTGCAGGACTCTGGGTGTGAGGGAGGCCGCGGAGGACGTGCCTCCCGGCCTCCACTGCCTCTCATGGCTCTGCCCACCAGGCTCTGTGTTTTGACACTGCCGCCGCCGCCGCTCCTTGGTGCTTTGCAGTCCTGGTGGAGGGAAGGGGGAGGGGGGGGGTTTAGAAATCTGGCAGCCACCAGTGATTTTTTTTTTCCTGTGGGCTCTTAAGCTTGGGACTTTTGGGACCTTCCCTGTGTGCTTCCTGACCAGCTCCAGCCTCCGGCCTCTGATGCTCGCTCGTAGGCCAGTCACGGTGTCAGGAAGGAGGCCTGAGGGGAGTGGAGCATAGGTGCGTGCTGGGGGCATCGCTGCCTCCTGTTCCGGTGGCTGCTGTGGCTTCCGGTCCTCACTGCCCTCTCCTCGGGCAGCTGGTGGCTGCCTGTCCTGGCTGGGCCCTGCTGTGGTCAGGACGGAGGCCCCAGGCCTAGGCTTGGAAAGCGCTGCTAGAGCCCCTTTCCCTTCTTTTGATTTTACTATTATAATTATTATCTGTTCATTGTAATAGAAATAAAGTTTGTACTTGGAGTTCAGCCAGGCTGTCGGCTCCGTGGAGACTCAGGGAGCTGGTGGCGGGCAGTTTCTTCAGTACCCCATCACCTGGCAGCCCCGCCGTGGGCATCCGGGGCTTGCCCCCCGAGCTGTGCCTGTACCCTGCGGCTCAACAGTTTTGACCTGGGCAGGCTTTGTGCCTGCCATGATCCTGCCTCTCCACCGCCTGTGGGGAGATGGGTGTGAGCCACGGCGCCTGGTGTGGCAGCTTTTCAGGGAGAGGCTTGCTGAAGCTCCAGTGATAGCTCAGGGGGCCGGGGAGGGGGCTCTGACTGAACAGTGAAGGGCAGATTGTTCGCAAGCCTCAATTTGGAGCCAGGCACAGAGATACACCTCTGTATTCGCAGCCCTTGGAAGGCCAAGGACAGCCAGGACTTCAGCTCGAAACAAAACCCAAGCAGCCTGCACGCGCTCTCGTAGTGGCTCCTTGCTGGGACTTTCTCTGCCCACTCTGCCCATTGCGGTTTGCGCAGAGCCTTTCAGCCCCCTAGCTCATTTGAAGCTCATTTGTTTTCCAACAAGCTACTGGGGGGGGGGGGGGGGAAGGGGCGAGAGGAGAGGGAGGGCCAGTGCGTGGTGGCAAGTAAGGCACATGGAAACAGTAGCAATTTACAGAACCCTGTGCACTTGCTTTTGACACATCGAGGACTCTGAACAAAGACTCATCCTGAGAAGAAAGAGCACTGTGCTGGGGTGAGATGTTACCCTGCTCGAGCTCAGGAAGAAGGAAAACTGTGGCCCAAGAGCGGCCACTGGCTTGGCGGTCCCTGGTATCTGAAGTACAGCTCTTCCCGCCCTCAGCTGCGGGTGGAGGGAGGGGCAGGCGTGTCCCCCCACACCCCAAGGGTGGGGCTTGGCTGTATCCAATCACGGTGGACTCATTTGCTTTCAGTTTTTAGGAATGGATAGTTCCTAATAGCTTAGAGAGTGGATATAATCTGAAAATCTTTAAAGTCTTACCTGTAACTAAGAGTGCAGCTGAACAATTGAATATTCATCTTAAATCATCTCCCCAAAGCCAATAGTGTTGAGGCTTAATTTTTTTTTTCTGGTATTCACTGCTGTGTTTCTGAATGATTCATTTGACAGTATTTTTTTTTCTATCACATTTGCTTTGTCATTCTTTTAATCCTTTTCCCTCCTGGACCAGTCTGCCTACTTTGGGCTTCCTGCCATAGCTCTAAGGACAGGCACACGTGCCGTTATGCTTGTGTCCAGGCTGGCCTGGGGCTGTGATCCCCTCATCCTGGCCTCCCACACAGCTGGGGTAACAGGCACGCACCTGTTGACTGAAGAAATCCCTTTACATGCAGGTTGCCTCCCACCGAAATCCTAATCTCAGGCTTGAGTCACTGGTGCCTGGCCCGTTTGTGTGTGTGTGTGTGTGTGTGTGTGTGTGCACGCATTGAGTGCACCTACATGTGTATGCATGCAGGTACAGTAGCTTGAACTCAGCAACCGCTGGCACTATACCACTTGAACCAGGCCTGCGGGACAGCATTTTACTGGTGAGTTGGATATGGAGTCTGGTGGACTTTACTGCCGAGGTTGGCTTTGAACGTCAGTCCTGATGTCAGCCTCCTGATTGTAGGCATGTGTCATTAACACTGGGTGTGGCCTTGATGGCTTGACCTCTGTGAGTGCTGGTAGTACAAGTAGGTGCCACTATACCTGGCTTTAAAAAAAAAAAAAAAGCTGGGGTCTTGCTGTGCTGCCTCAACTGCTCTTGAAATCCTGTGATGAGCTATCTTCCTGTCTCCAGCCTTTTTCTGTATAGCAGGGACACCTTGGCACACCACCACAACCTGGGTCTCCACTTTAGAAATCACGGTAAAACAACTAACATGAAACTTAAACGGTTTAATCATTTTCATGTTTGTACATGGGTGGCGCTAATTTATTGTGTCACACCATTATCACCATCTAGGTTTAGAAGTTTTCATTTAGTCTCAAAAGGACAATCTTGAATCCATTAAGCACATACTTTCTCAACTACATGTCTGATTTGTCTGGGTTTTCCAGTTCTCTCCATTTGAAAGATATTTTTGTTAGGTATAGAATTCTAGATGGGTAGGTTTTTCTTTCTTTGAATTTGGTGCTGTAATTTTTTTTTTTTTTAATTTAACTCAGGGCCTGGGCGCTGTTCCTCAGCTCTTTGTGCTCAAGGCCAGTGCTCTACCACTTGAGCCACAATGCCAATTCCGGTTTTCTGGTGGTTTATTGCTGAAGCTGGCTTTGAGCTGTGATCCTCAGATCTCAGCCTCCTGAGTAGCTAGGATGACAGGCATGAGCCTCCAGCACCTGCCTAGACTTTATCATGTTTTCATTAGTTCTATTAAGAAACTGGATGAAGGGCCCAGCTAGACCGTAATAATATTATTGTTGTTTGTCTGGTTTGGCATGAGTGTAAAGCTTGAGAGAATGAGCTTCGTGGTATTGCTTCCCTTTCAGTTCTGGCTCACACGACTCATTTTCTCCCTGCAGCTGATTTTGGGCTCTCTCCGTTTGACAACTTGTGTAGTACCATGTTCTCCTTCTACTTTAAGTTACTTAATGAGTACTTTGTCTGGAAACTCATATCCTCTTTTTCTCCACGTTTCCTGAATTATGTTTCTCTTGGTTGCTACTCTTTTCAGTTGTCTCTGTTTTTCTATTCCATGGATGATTTTAACCACATCCTTTGATCCTTACGTTCTTTTGTTACTGGGGCTTGAACTCAGAGCCTCACACTTGCTTGCCTTGTTCACAGCTGGCACTCTGCCACCTGAGCCACGCGAACGTGCAGTAGTGTCACGGCCTCACGGCACGGTGAGTGCTTCCTGTGAGGCTGGTTAGGGCTCAGTCGCCCACGCTGCTGTGCAGTGTTCTGTGGAGGAGCTTCACTAGTTTGTGGCTGGGCTGTGCGCATTATTGCAGGCATGTATGTCATTTGGTAAGTGTATGTATATATTCCGGTTGGGTTTACACCCAGGAGCATTTCCAGTGCAGGAGATAAGAGTATTTGGTGCTAGTGTTTTCTAAACACAGTTGTAGCTACATTGCCACTGACAGGTTTGTTTTGAACTCAGGTTCTTGCACTTTTGCTCAGCTGTCTTCACTCACAGCTGGTGCTCTACCACTTGATATACATTTTATAATCTTTTTGATGATTCATTTGGAGATGGAGTCTCAGACTTTGCCATGTGGGCTGGCTTTATACCAGACTTTGCCATGTGGGCTGGCTTTATACGTCAATCCTCCATATCTCAGTCTCCCGAATAGCTGGGATTATAGGTGAGCCACCAGTGCCCAGATTCATAGCAATTTTGAGTTCTGATTGTTCCAATCTTCCCTTACTGTCTTTATCTTTTTAACCCTTTTGGTAGTGCAGTAAATATATGCTATTATTTTGCTGGTTCTGGGGTTTAACTCAGGGCCTGGGTGCTATCCCTGAGCCTCTTTGTGCTCAAGGCTAGTGCTCTACCACTTTGAGTCACATCTCCACTTCTGGTTTTCTGGTGGCTAATTAGAGATAAGAGTGTCAGGGGCTTTCCTGCCGGGGCTGGCTTTGAACCATGATCCTCAGATCTCAGCCTCCAGAGTAGCTAGGATTACAGGCGTGAGCCACTGGCACCAGGTTTGGATGGCATACTTTTAAGGTGTACTCATTTTTTTCAAGAGACAACCCAAGAAGATAGCCTTGGAGTTGGAGAATAGAGGAATGCTTTCTGTACTTAGCCAGGAGGAGCACAGGTCGCAACCCCCAGCATTTAAATCTAAACAAAGGTCTTCTCTTTGCTAGGAGGGGCTGTGCCCATCTACTTCCAGCACCCTGGGCCACACACAGGATGAGGAAGGGAAGATGCGTGCCCCGTGCTCTCCTGTTGAACACCCAGTGGAGATCCTTGCTCTGAAAGTGCATTCATGAGGGAGGGGGAAAAGAGGTGGTATGAGCGAGGATTCTCACGATAAATGAGAACCAAGTTAGGTTCTCAGGCACAGATGCTAGAGGCTATGTGGGGAGGGCACGCAGGGACGGATACACACACACACGCATGGCGGTGGGGAGGGAGAGCGAGCCCTGCCAGCTTCTTACCTCTTCATGCATCGCTGTGGCACAAAGTGGTGAGCTGTACTATATACTTCTGCTGTGGAAACCCTACCCCAGGCAGGGGAGCACAGAATGGATGGCAGGACACGCAGGCTCAGCTCGGCCCTGACCTTGGCTCTGGCTCCTTCAGCTGTGTCTTCCATGGGCAAGGTGGGCAGGTCAGAAGCCTGGTGGAGTAAAAATCACGGACTGCACAGACCATCATCATTAGAAACACTTTAATTCCCAGCCACTTGGCGGCGCTCAAGGACCAGAGCCGTCCAAGCAACTCCAAGCTTTGAACTTGCTCAGCAAGAGTAGATGATCGCACACTTAGGGTAAATCAGAATTAGATGAAGGTTATTTATTGGTGTGACTTTTTTTTTTTCCTGTAGTGAGCTTCCTTTACACAGCATAGTGTAAATCGCATCGGATTGAATGAAAAGTCTGTTAAATGCAACCATAAATAATTATAATAAATATACATCAAGTAACTTTACAGCACACGTAGTTTAGGGCCGCGGTTTGGATCTGTCTGGACCTCAGTGTGCTCTGGGAGAAGCAGCTGAGTTAGCAGCGCTTTCCCATTCACGGCTCTCGTCTTCTGACCAAGTGATGGGTCGACAGAAGCTTCCAGAACCCCTCTCAGAGAGGCAGCTGACAGACTCCAAGTCCCTTCAAGGG